TCGGTTGATAAAAATGATTCAGTGATTCACTCATTAACACAGTCAAATGCTTTGTTCCTGAATGAATCAGTCGTTTTAATGTATCGGTTGAATCTCAATGACTCACCAACCCTCTACATTGCGAGTAAATCACTCGCATATGCGACTAAGGAGTAACTATATGTTTTATGAAATGTAGTGAAGTAAAAAGTACGATCTTATGCTTTGGAATGTAGTGAAGTAAAAGTAAAAGTTACTCAAAATAAAACTACTCCAGTAAAGTCCAGATACTTGAAAAATGTACTTAAGTACAGTAACGAATTAAAACTACTCCGTTACTGTCCACCACTGCAGGAGACCCACAGGCACCCCCTGAAGTAAACAATATAACTTCCGTCTTATCCTCGTTAAATTTAAAAAAATGTACTGCCATCCAGGCTTTAATTTCCTCAAGGCAACACAAAAGTGGCGCTATAGAATTTGGATGTTTTTGTTTCAATGGCAGATATAAATTGTGTATCATCTGCATAACAATGAAACAAAATATTATACTTCCTGAAAATGGATCCTAGAGGAAGTATATATAAAGAAAATAGAATAGGCCCCAAAATGGAGCCCTGGGGGACCCCACACGAGAAACACGCAGAAGAGGACATAAAATCCCCAAGACGAACAGAAAAGCTTCTGCCAGACAAATATGATCAAAACCACTCCAACACAGTACCCTTATCTTGATGTTTTAATGTCCTTAAAGGGTTAGTTCACCCAAAAATGAAAATTAGCCCATAAATTACTCACCCTCAAGTCATCCTAGGTGTATATGACTTTCTTCTTTCAGACGAATCCAGTCGGAGTTATATTAAAAATTGTCTTTGATCTTTCAGGCTGTTTCATGGCACTCAGCCGGTGTTTCATGGCACTCAGCCGGTGTTGCATGCATCAGTCCAAAAGCACTTAATTAAAATCACAAGGCTCCAGGGGGTGAACAAAGGCCTTCTGTAGCGAATCGATGCGTTTTTGTAAGAAAAATATCCATATTCAAAACGTAATAATCACTTTAATCTAGCTTGCGCTCACTGTTGTACACTGGAAGCAGTTCCGGGCGGATGACGTCTGAGGTCAGTGCTGTGTCTTTACAAATCCTCGTTTTGTACTTCTAATCAGTGACCGTTGTTTTGTTTTGATCTCTGCGCTTCCGCGTGTGTCACTTCTGAGTGGCGCATGCGCAAAGCCGACCTCCATACGTCATCCGCCCGGAACTGCTTCCAGTCTTGCACGAAGTTTGCACGTTGCTTGTATGATATCCACCGGCTCGCCTTCACAGTTTAAAACAGAAGTATTTCCAACATTGCGGTGCACATTGCGATGTATTTGCCTTTTCAAAGTGATTCCAATAATATTTCACGCAATTAAAAACCATCATGGTGAAGAGTGCGCATCTGAAGGGTCTCTGCAGGAAATAATGCATTATTTATCGGCTCTAAGATATCGGCCAAATTCTCTTATCGATAATGATAAGAGAAAAATCAACATTTATCGGCCGACACCGATATGGTGGCCGATATATCGTGCATCCCTAAGTAGTAGTACAGCCGTGGCCAAAAGTTTCAGACCAAGACTGTCTCAAAAATACCACACAAATTCAAAGCAGTCCACGCACGTGTGACGATTTGCAAATGCAGATTCAACGATCCATAAATACATGTAACATCATTCATAAATGTGTGATGGAAATTAATTCAAGAACTTGATGTACACATATTTGGGTCCCAAACCTTAACCTACCCATTTTATAGCGAATATAAAAGGATATAAAACGCAAATGACCGAAATATGCAGGAAAATAACCATTTTAGTAACAATGTAGCCTGTTGTATGTATATGTATAGTCGCTAATTCCACTCCTACCTATAAACCTAAACATTTCTGTACAGTATAAGAAAAACATGACAGACAGATGCAATTACAATAATTTATTTATTGCAAAAATGTCAAAAGCAGTAACAAAATTAATCTAAATGAAGATGCGTTGCAGCCGCGGTCCTCTCTGGTGGAATACAGTAGGTTTGTGTGAGCCAGAGCAGAATTTATGTTGTTAATCGCTGAAAATATTATCCAGATTATTTTCCCGATCCACTCCGTGAATTCGTGAAGGCGCGCGCGCATCATTCAAACACAACTCACCAGAAACACGGCATGTCGCAATCTGTGACGAATGCAGGCGAGAGCCAATGAGCGTTCGATTATCCTGCCGTAAAACCTGTCGTTTGAAGCATCTGAATAAACAGGGTATGTGCAACTTTGGTGTATAAGACAGCAGGCTAACCGGGTAGCTGTATTTTGTGCAAACGATATAAATCATAATGTGATTTTGTAGAAATTGTAATCAGGTGCAAAAAAAAAAAAAAGAGTACCCATTAAAATGTCTTTACATCAAGGACACGATCATGGAACAATGCACAGTACAAGCGCAACGTTAAGCTTCTTGAGTCTGTTCAGTAAATGAAAATGTGTTCAGCGTTTTGATTGGTGGATTAAAAGCTCCCCACAATTTGCTGAACGGAACATCCTCCAAAAATAAAGATATGTATGAATATTAACCTGTCAGGAAGGTCTCAAAAATACCGCACACAAATTCAAAGCAGTCCACGCACGTGTGACGATTTGCAAATGCAGATTCAATGATCCATAAATACATGTAACATCATTCATAAATATGTGATGGAAATCAATTCAAGAACTTGATGTACACATATTTGGGTAAACATTTTAAAATTTATTTAGGTAAGATGCATTTGTATGAACATTTGGGGAAATATTTATGCTTTTACTTGAGTATTTATAAATTGTGTTTTGAATTTACGAATCGGATTTTGTAAATGTAAATTGTGCTGTGCATTTATGAATTTTTTTTTGTAAATGTAT